AGGTACCCTTTAGAATAAAATTCAAATTTTATGTTTCTTATGTACTTAACATGCTCAATTTTGTATTATCTGTATGTCTCCTCTTCTCTGCTAGATTATTTTTATATATTCCTCAGCACCTCGAACACTGCTTGGCAAATAGGCACATAAGAAATGGTGATCCTTCATCATCTAGTCTTCTCAGGAGCTTAGTAGGACAAGGATTCATGTAGTAGCCTGAGAATTTAGTGATTCTCTTTCTTACTGTCTCCTCTAGGTCGCAAGTCTGGAAAGGGCTTTTACATCTACCAACCAGGAGTGAAAAGCAAGAATTTGAATTCTGGCATGGATGAAATTCTGACAAGTCTGAAGGTGTCTCCTCGGTCTGAGGTGTAAGTTAGTTGGGGTGCCCAGGGTGAAAATGTATTTCTCTAGCAGGGAAAAGAATCACTTTTTTCTGTGATGTCCCAATGCTTAATAGTACACTTTTCAAACACTCTCCTTTACATTCTTATTTGGTCTCCATATTAGTCAAGAGAGTTTGATGTCAATCCATCCAACTGTTTGCAGAACCAAGTTAAGATTTCTGCTCTAGAACACTACTCCAGAACAGGTAGAAGGATTGATTCCGCTATCCCATTCCCAGGAATAATAAACCAACCTTTGCATTGATACTGTGAATAACTGGCAGTTGGTCAACAAAGAATTCTTTATAGTGTTTTAGGCATTTACGGACCCCTCTGCTGTGACCTGCTTTCCTATTCCTAGCAGAGGGCCTTATACAGAGCAAGTGTAGGATTCATGAACAAGTCCTCTCAAGTTAGAAGGCTAGAGTTATGTTTAGGCCCTGAACAAACTAGTTCAGCACCAACCCTTTGATGAATGTTTGAATTTAATTTAAATTCAGTTATCATTTGCCACTTGCATATATCCATCTTTTCATCCCTTTGGATGGGATATTCCTCAACCTAATTATCTTTCTTGTTGGCAGCTCCACCCCAGAAGAGATCCAGTACCGATTAGTAACAAGATTTGTGAATGAGGCAGTCATGTGCCTACAAGAAGGGATCCTGGCTTCCCCTGAAGAGGGAGACATTGGGGCAGTCTTTGGTCTTGGCTTCCCACCTTGTCTTGGAGGTTTGTCCATCTCTTGAAGGTTGATGTTGCTGTAATGCAAATGTTTGTCTTGCTCTTTGCCTCAGTATCTGATATCTGTTCTCCATTTAGGTCCCTTCCGTTTCTCAGATCTGTACGGTGCCCAGAAGTTGGTGGACCGGATGAAGAAATATGAATCAATCTATGGAAAGCAGTTCACCCCTTGCCAACTGCTAATTGACCATGCAAACAACCCTAGCAAAAAGTTTTACCATTGAGCAGGCACAGTCTTACCTTGTGCAGGACATACACTTAACCCCCAGCTGGAGGTAGTGCTATCTCCAAATGCACAGTGTCTAGATTTGTCTAGGTAACCCGGTGGGAAAACACACTCAGCCTTTGCAGTCTAGCTCCTGGTTAAAGTGCCTTGCAGTCTAACCAACCCTTGGTGGCTCCCAGTTCCACCAGCTGTGAATTGGGTATATTGTACTTGACTTTGAAAGACAGAACTCACTGTGCTCTAGATTCTAAACCCAAGTTGGTCCACACAGCTGGAGCCACCTTCGCTGCCGATAGCCTGCGAGGCCAGTGGCAGGACTGATTGACTTCTGCCAGAATGACTTACATCTAACAATAAAACCAAACTTTATAAGCCACCCCCTTTTCTTTTATCTTTGTTGAACCTCCCCTCTTGAACATCTGCTTTCTGGAACCAACAGACACAGAATATTTCGCTTTAAAGAAGGGTAAGATCCAGAAAATCTCTCAGATCTTCCATCGGTACCTTGAGGAAAAGGCCATGCAGATAGAAAGTGGAGCTTCATGGCCATTCCTTTTAATGAGTCCAAGGGTATGTAAATCTGAGTCTGCCAGTGAACGTTCTCTATACCTCAGCTTTCCCAGCTTTGTCCCTGGCTCCTCACTGAACTGTGCTCCCCTGCTGCAGCTCTGTTTATTGCTGCTCTGGAGAGCTAAGGGACAAGGGGGAGACAGAATGAGGAGGGGAAAGAATGGAGCTCTTCTCAGCCCCAACCACCGTCTCCCCCATTATCCTTCTCCACACTCGATCGTCCCATACCACTTAATTTCGCTACCCCTCTGCCTCCTTGAAACAAGGAATCCCAGCAAGTCAGTGGAGAGAGGAAGGTATTGAGTGCAGGCCTGCAGACGGTCTCAATGTCATCCAGGAACCAGCCTGGCTGTTTGGAGAAGCCAGTCACCAGATTGCCCACATGGGAACAAACTCTGTGATCTGAACAACCCTTAGAGAGGGGATGCAGTCAGTACTGGTGGAGGAAGCCCCGGCCCCAGTTAAATCTGATCTTCTGTGTCCTGAAGCACACCAAGCTGAAGAGAGGTACAAGTGCTTTTGAGCCTCACATAAAGAGGGAATCCCAATTAACTGTTTCTTATCAAGCTTGTATTTCATGCCAGTGGGTAACCTGTTCTAGGGCTATAGCTTTAGCCAGAGAAAGGCCCTTAGGAGTCCAAGATTAGAGGATCATAGATTTAGAGGCAGAAGGGACCTGAGAAATCTACGCCAACTCCTTCATTATATGTATGAAGAAACTGAGACCTAGAAAAGTTAACTTGCCCAAGCTTATAGGCTTTGAACCCAGAACCTCTTGACTCCATGGATCCAATGCTTTTTGACCCATTTTAGTCTGCTGAAGAACCCTGTACTAGCTCATTAGGTTTTATCTGAGATACTCTTACTTTGTGGGGGGAACTGTTAGGAAGCCGTTTAAGTTGTAGAATGGGTTTTAATACTGGCTAGATCTAGTCCCAGCTACTGGGACTTGAGGTCTTGAATCCTAGGATTCCTGAACTATAATTCTCAGACTTCCAGCAGGTAGCAGAAAAGAAGTGGCCGCCCATACCTCTTGGACGTGAGCATAAAGGCTCTATCGTGGGGTACCGATACCTTCTGCCCCAATTCAGAAGTGAAAGCCTGGGACTGACAAGTGCCCTCTGTTCTTTTAGAGCCAGTGGGCATGCTCACAGGCTTTAATATCCACAGCTAGGAAATGGAACTCTGGCACTTGCCAACATCAAGCCCTACCTATCCCTTTGTCTTTGTATTCAGAACAGTGGGGTAGGTACAGAAATGGGCTCGGGAGGACCTTACATAAATAAATAACAGTTCTAGGTCAGTTAACAGGGAATCCTGGGTACCGCAAGTCTGGGCCCTTGCCCCAGGCACCAACAAAGGGGCACATTACACACTACTTCTCTGTCCCTTAAAAGAGCAGAAAGAAAATATGCTTAACCTCCAGGCCTAGCACACATACACAGTTCAGCTTGCACCCTTCTGCAGGATCCGTGGTATTTATTTCATTGCTCCATTAGAATTCCTTAACAAGAGCCAACTCTCCCAATTATAATATTCCTGCTATCCACTATTTGGGCTCCTTTCCCAAGAGCCAAGGCCCCTGGCATGGCTAGGAGCAGGAACAGGAACCAGACCCTTTAAAATACGAAGAAATAAATATCTAGGCAGCCTGATGAGGTAAGATCTCCTTGGGGTCTCGGTGGGGCTGGTTGTGAAAAGTGCATGCATGTATCCAGAGCTGCATTCTTATGTTTTGTATTATAGATGAGTACACTGAAATTCCTATGAATGAAGACCCTCCTCCATGTTAACACACTGCAACATTCAGTAGGGCTCATAGATCTAGAACTTAAAGGACCTTTAAAAGTTACCTAATCCAATGTCCTTGTTCTGTAAATGAGGAACTTAAGGCCCAAAGAAGTTACTTAAGGTCAAACAGGTAGAAAGTAGAACCAGGATGATTCCAAGTTCAGTATTCTGTCCCTTCTATACCACGAGGTCTATGAACCCTGAAGTCAAGGTACTAAAAATTTTTTCCTGAGCTTCTATGGCTTCATAAGTCTTCCCCCCGCTTCTACCCTTTTGTCCTAGGTTGGAGACATTGTATAAGGTATTTATGAGGTGGCTACAAGTGAGAGAAATCTCACAAATATCTATAGTAATGACTTCTGGCTGAGAGAGAAGGAAATGCCCTAATAAATAGGATCTAGCTGTGAAGAGAAGGCAGGAGTAGTATTAATTGAAAGAAACTTGGACTTGAATCTCAAGCGTTGAAAGGGATGCTAGAGGTCACTTCATCCAGCTGACTAAATGACTAGTTCCTGGGGTAGCTTGGTTCTGAAACCATCCAAGGAAGGGGGTTCATCCAGGAAGTGCTCTTAAATCTTGTCTTCCCCATTATATTACAAGCAACCAGAGTACAGGAACCTTGGCCGAGACCCCTCCTCTACGAGCTTGACTTTCATCATCAGGAAAAGAAGGGGATGGACTAGATGACCTATAGGGGCCTTTCTAGCTCTTGTCAATGAACCTATGATCCTACGTTGTGCTCAGTAATTACCGTTGACAAGATGACTAGAGAAGGGGATATGGGTGCAAACAATGCACAGGGGACAGGCTCTAAGTTTGCTTGACCCTTAGTGCTTCCAATTAGAGTTAAGGGTGGAGGAGGAAGAGGAAGAAAGGCAGGAAAACAGGGACATTTGGGAATAGAAGCCCGGAGTTTGGATAATGGAAGAGGCCCCCCAGAGGTGGGAAAGGATCTGGGAAGTCTGTTACATCACTCTATTGAGCAGTGTTGGGCTCTGAGGGGAGGGTAGAACCATGCTGGTCCTGCACATTTGTGTTAATACCATTTGTAACTTCTCCGTGTGAAGTCTCTAAAGGAGAGAAATTGTGCTGAAGTCGCTGTGGAAGAACCCAGTACCGGCTCCGTGGAGCTTGGGTTGAGTGTGGAGCACTAGATCTTTGTGGCACTGCCTCATTATAATCTGGGTCCCTGGGGGTCCAGTACCTGGAGCAGCTTTATGGAGAGCTCCTTTCGTGCCCCTGAGGCCCAAAAACATTCTTACTGTCTGGCCTTAGGACAGGCTGCTCAGATCTTGGGCCTCCAACCCTTGATGAACTGCATGATCTTCTTGACCTGCAGCTTGGTGAGGTGGAAGTCATCAGCCAGGATGTCCTCACTGAGCTGCACAAAAATGCTGCCATCTATGCGCTCCCTAGAGAAGAAGTTCACCACATCCTCCGAGAGGCCGATGAAGCGCAGACTCTGAGAGACTTCCTCCAGCGAGAGTGCAGATAGATCAGCTGGGGGTTGCCAAGGGGTGTTGTCCCTGCCAACCCGGCCCACTGCCCCTTCCCGTGGGTTAATAGGAGGCACATCCAGGCGCCCCTGGGTGAGGTAGAGCCGTGCTCCGCCTCCCTCTGGTCCCTGTACGACAGTAGGGGACAACGGGGTGGGCATCCGCCGAAGCATCAGGCCATCTGGCTCAAAGGCCTTGGTGGGGCAGAGGGGTGACAAGGGCCCAGGCCTGCCCACTCCCCTAGGCTCCTGATACCGTAGCAGCTCTGGTTCTGGGGAGCTGCCCTGCCTCACTTCAAAGGGGTCAAAGGGTTCCAGGGCTGTTTCCTGCCATTCCGAGGAAGAGGAGGAGGATGTGGGGCAGGAGGGGGAACCAGATGAGTAGGCCTGACTGGAGGAGACAGGGCCTAGAGAGTAAGTAGGGCTTGAGGATGAAGTGGGGCCGGGGGTAGAAGTGGGACCAGAGGAAGAAGAGGATGATGTTGAGGCAGGACCTGAGGAATAGGAGGGACCAGCAAATGGATTGAGGGCCCCAAACGGAGCAAAGCGTTTCTGAGGGTGTGAAGGCTTAGGAGGAGGGGGACAACTGTGGTATGTCTTGTTGGGGGTCTCGCCCCCAAGTAGTGGTGTAGATCGACTATTTCCAGGTTCGGAGTAGGCCCAGGAGGCCTGGCTGGGCTGTGTTGTAGAGGGGAGGGGCCCAGGAAGTGGGCGACTGGAGCAGTCACCCACCTTGCAATCACCCCAGGTACAGGGGTAACAGTATAGAGAATATGAATCTGGGGATGGGGAGCAGCTGCCACTCCGAGAGCCGGATCTGGGAGATTAGGAGGAGAGGAAAAAACAGACAACAGAGGCAAGACAAGGTAGAGATACAGACAGAGAGAAAAGGAGAGTAAATGGTCAATATATTCTTGCATGACTCAACTGCCCCTGTTAAATAAGGTCTCATTGATCTGATCCCAGAGGCACAACTCCCCCACCCCTAGAGGAGAACTTAGAACCTCGGGGGGTTTATTTGCTGTTCATTTCCAAGACCCAGCTTGGGTCAGAGCACTTATGTCCTGTCCAGCTCACATAGGTATTCATGGAACCTTAGAGCTGGAAGGGACATTAGAGATCACAGGATCATAAATTTAAAGCCAAAAGGGATCTTAGAGGTCATCTAGTCCAACCCCCTCATTTTATAGATGAAGATCTAAGGGTCAGACAGGATCATTGCCTTGCCCGTGGTCATGCAGCTACTTCATGACTGGAACAGGACCAGAACCCAGGTCTCCTGATTCCCAGTTCAGTGCTCTTTCCACTCTTCCATACTGCCTTGGCTATCCATGGATCTTTGCCCAAAGAGGCAAATGACCCAAAGGAAATGCCCCCCCTTGGGTGTGGCTTCCCCAGGAGGGGTCCAGGAGCCCAAAGAAGGAAGGAGACCAGAGCCATAGCCTGGACAGGGAGAATGGGCTTTTGCCCCCAGGGACTAACATGGAGGGTACTTTCTCACTGGAGGACCTGCTTCCTTCCTATAAAACTCAAGAGGCTCAAGGCAAGCTCCTCCCAAAATAATTTCACCCGTGATAGGCCTGTCCTCTACACAGCCACACATTCCCTTCCCTCCTCCTAAATTTGTCCCAAGCTCAGTTTGAACTAGTAATAACTTTGAAGGGCACTCACCCATCGTGTAGGCCAGAAGAGTAATAGGAGAGGCCAGGACTGGGGGAATGAGCAGGCTGAAGCTTGGGAAAGCGTGGTGGGACAGGAGGACTGCCTGGGGGCCGGCTGCCCCTTGGTGGTACTGGTGGAGCATTGAGTAGGCGACACTCTTCCTTGACCTGGAAACAGAAAGTCCTAGAAATCAGAAAGAATGATACCAGGCAGGATGCTACCCAGGCCCAAGTGCTCAAACACATTGGACAGCTGCTGGCCTCTTCCTGAGAGGCCCAAGCCACATAGCATCATTTGTGGTCGTCCTAAGGGACATCTGGAACTGCTCTGTAGAGCGTACCCATAATGAACATGGATGTACAAAGTGGTCCCCTTACCCACCCGTCACCAAAGCCTAACCCATCTCCTAGTCCCCTCCCCAGTGCTCCATTCCCCCAGCCACTGTAGCCCAGAGTCCCCTAGTAGCTGCAAACCAAAATCTGCTTTAAAGCAACAGAGAATTTTTCATAAAATAATTTTTGTAAAAGCAACTAGGTGGCACTAGACCTGGAGTCTGCAAGATCACAGTTCAAATTCTGTATGAAACATTTACTAGCTGTATGACCCTGCGCAAGTCACATAGCCTCTTTGCCTCAGTTTCCTCAAGTGTAAAATGAGGGTAATAATAGTACTTGCCTTCCAGAGTGGATGTGAAGATCAAATAAGTTTATATTCATAAGGTACTTTGCAAACCTTAAAGCACTATTTAAATGCCAGCTTTTATTATCATCATCATCATCAAAGAAGACCAGCAACACAGATTGGGAGGAAAGAGAAGGAAAAGAATGGAGGGGGCAGGAGAGGGGGGAACGGGGCCTAACCCAAATTCTCCTAGGCCCACACCCTGATAAATATAGCTTTCTGCAAACAGTCCTCTGGCATCCCAATCCAACCTTATTCACCTCCCCACAGGCTTTTCCTCTACTTTCTCCCTATCTCTCTCACCCTCAGGTTGTCTCTCTTAAATACACATCCGGGAACATATCCCTCTCATACCTACTTATGCACACACACATACACACACACACACACACACACACACACACACACACTTTCTCTGGTAATAATAACTCATATTTATATAAGCCCTTTAAAAGAGTTACAAAGCACTTTCTAATCACCCCGTAAGAGAAGTAGTTGCACAAAGATCCTCATATCCCATTTTACAGATGAGGAAACTAAGGCTGAGGTGTAAAGTGACCTGCCCAAAGTTACACAGCTACTGAATATCAAAGTCAACACACACATACCCCTACCTACTCACTTACCGATGCCCTCCCATATATACATACACTCCTGCCAATTCCTTCTGTTCCCCTTGACAGCAGTCATACAAGAGATGCTTGATAACCTGGGCACAAGATACCAAGGACTCCTTACTGTTGACAAGCCCTTTTTATTGGCTAAAGAAGAAACCTAGGCAGAGGCCAAGGGCTCCAGAGTTCTGGGAGGTAACGAGAGGGGAGGGGAGGCTCCTCGAGAATGAGTAAGAAAAGTTTCAGAATTCTAGGGTTATCTCAAAGAACAGTTTCCCTATCACCATCCCCCTAGTGTGGTGGGTAAGTGGGTTGAGATTTGATGTCAGAGGACCTGAATTCAAATTATCTCTCTGAAACTTACTAGTTGTGTGACCTTAAGAAAGTTACTTACTCTCTGGGCCTCAGTTTCCTCATCTCTAAAATGATGGAGTTGAAATAAATAAACTCCAAGATCTCTTCCCCCTCTAAATCTATGATTCTATTATCCTAGGATTCTTTCTGCCCTGTGACCTCAAGAGTCACCTATACTTGTTATGAAGTTATTTCTGACTCTTCATGATCCCATTTGAGGTTTTCTTGGAAAAGACCCTGGAGTGGTTTGCCATTGCCTTCTGCTCATTTTACAAAGGAGGAGACTGAGGTAAACTGAGGTAAAAAGAGACTTGCCCAGGGTCACACAGCTAGTAAGTGTCAGAGGCCGGATTTGAAATCACAAAGATGCCCCCTCCTGACTCCCTGCCCGGCACTCCATCCATTGCACCACCTAGCTGCCCACCTATACTTACCGCCTCTGATTTGGGAGGGACAGGAGGTGGGGGAACCTCCGTCTCCAGATGAGCAGTCCCAGCAAAAGAAATGAGGTCTGGCTGTCTAAGTCCTGCTGGTGGTTGCCTGCTTCTGTCCCTGCCCCCACCCTCTGGGTGGCTCTCAGTTGCCTGGTGCGTCCACAGCTCCTCATAGGGGATCTCCACTGAAGGGGCAGGTTCTGACAGGCTGGCCCAGTCTGGACTCATATATTCCTGCTCCCCCTCCCCAGCAGGGGGGTAAAGGCAGAGAGAGAGCTGGGGCAGTGCCTCGGGCCTGGGGCCCTGCAAACAGAGCCTTGCCCTCCGGGGGCTGGCACATTCCTCTGCCAGGTCTCCAGGGGCTTCCCGGACTGCTTTGGAGTACTCGTCTGGGTCGAAGCGCTCGTGGCAGTAGGAAGCGCTGTCTCTCACCAGCTGTTCCACCTGGGGATCACCAACCAGCAGCCCTTGGGGCAGGGTGAATCGGGGCATGTCCGTGAGCAGCAGGAAATGCAAGGGAGTGGGGCCCTCCCTTCGTAAGGCTAGCCCCAGCACCACTGTCTTGGAGATGATGCTGACTAGCTTGTAGCAGTGGCCCTCTCGCACCGGGTGCAGGTCATACGGGTTGCAGGGGGGCCGGCTGGGCACAAGTACGTTGACGGGCAGCCGGACCCTCTCGATGATGGCCCTCACCGTGTGCTCCCCTTCCTGCATCTGCAGCTCCAGGGGGCTGCGGGTACTGAACCGGCCCCGGCACTGGAAGGGCAGGCTCAGGCTTTCATTGGTGCGGTGGTTCATACAGATGAGGCACGGCATCTTGCCTTTAATGGGCTTGATGGTGCCCGCTGCTCCACTGGTGCCCAGGCCACCGCCGATGCTCCCCATCCCTGCCAGGGACCCTGCCAAGGACCCAGCCCGGCCCAGTTTTCGGAGGATGGTGGTGAATCGGGAACGTTCCTTCGGGGTCTTCCCACAAAGGATTTCAGCCTGGCCCATGAGGGTGAGCTCATCACCCGCATGCAGGGTGAAGTTGTAGACCTCACTGTCCTCACTGAACTCCCCAGACACCACCTGGGGGGCAAGGACAAGACAATGAAAAGAAGGCAGCATTTTCTGGGGTGCTTCAGGGAGAGCAGCCTGTCTGCCACCCAGGATACTCAGAGATCAGGGGAATTATGCAAACCCTGGGAGCACCTCCCTCCCCTCCCCCTCCTCTCAAAGGACCCCTCCAGCAGGACTCCCTCCCCCTCTCCTACCCCCCCCAGTCACCCATATATGCAAAGCTGCCAGTTGGTCCTACTTGGGAAGGATAAAGAAAAATGGAATTAATTAAAATTGTAAGCAGAATTTTAAAATCTGAAACTAGAAAAAAAAATTCAGCATTTTTTCATTAGGAAAAGCTTCAACAAGAATTACTCCCAGCCTCAGTTAAAGCAAGAGGTATATAATCTTTTCTGCAGATCAAGGTAGGCATATTGACCCAGGGATGGTTTAGGTAAAGCCCACACTGGGCTACATCTTGGCGACCTCCAGAAAAGCTGTCTAGCCCAAGAGAAGGTTTGGAGGTGGGATGGGGGTTGTGATGGCTGTCAGGTGGAACTGGAACTAGGCTTATTCTACCTGGCCACAGAGGCAGAACCAGGTGTGATGGGCAATTGTTGTACTGGGGCAGATTTAGGCTCGATGTCAGGAAAAACTGCCTAACAACGAGAGTTGTCCCAAGTGGAATGGGCCGCCTCAGGAAGGGATGGGTGTGCCCTGCCTGGAGTCTTTAATTCCACTTGCAAGGGATGCCATGACGGGTTTCCTGCTCAGGTAATGGATTCAGGTATGGATGCACAGGCCTGTGACTCCTGACGTCCATTCCAACCCAGGAGTTCTCACAAGTTATTTCTCCTGAAAAAGATCCCAAACTCTTCCTGTCTCACTTCTTTCTAAAGAAGTCCTCCTGAATCCATCCCACTGAAACACGAGGACATGTCTTTGTCTTCAGTGGAAATGGAGAGCTAGGCGTTCTCTTCCTGTTGTCAAAGGAAGCTTGACTATGGCTGACGCTTCCACCTGGCAGAACGCAGGGGACCTATGGGGGGTGTTTTCTGCTAGGGAGCTGACCTTGACGCTGAAGGTGATGGCCTCCATCACAAAGATGCGGTCAGGAAAGACGCTGGCCACCTCCTCAATGCTGCTGAAATACTGTACTGGCTCCCGAACGTCTCGAGCCTGCTCCAGAAGCTTGAACTTCCCTGTGGGAGGGGCAGGAAGATGAGTCTGGTCCCATTTCCCCCGGGGTCCTATCCCCTGTGAAGAGTGCCCCCAGACCCCAACATCCTCATGGTGCCCACTTCTGTGCCATGTCTCCCACTACCTGGAGAGAACACATAGGGAGGCCTGGATGCTCCCAGGTGGACTCCGAACAGGGCTCCCCTGGGCCCAGACACCTCATGGGCCAATCATTGTGTAGTCAGCTTAGTAAAAAGCCCAGACACAGGAGCTCTGAACATCTGGACGTTCACAGCTTGTGAGTGAACAGCCGTGCTGAGGGGTCAGGAGCGCTAGAAACGGCCTAAAAGTCTGGAGACCTAAGTTCTAGTCCCAGTTCTGCACTGCCTAGGCTTGGGGAAACCCTTTCAATTGTCTGAGTTGTGGCTTCCTTGCCTGTAAAATAGGGGATACTTTGGACTCTATCAATCAACAAACATTTATTAAGCATCTACTATGTGCCAGGCATCGTACAAGGTCCTGAGGATATAGAGAGAAATGGCGAAACTGTCCCTGCCCCTAAGAAGAGACAGCATGTGTGTATGTATATGTGTATGTACATATATATATATACACACATATACATATATACATATAGCTATATGTATGTACATGTGTGAGCATGCATATTCACATATGCACATAAATGTACATGTTTGTATTTTATATACACAAATACATGTAGTGTGTTCTAAAAGTCTTAGTGCAGTTTTAAGCTTTAATAGCTAAAAACTGCACTAAGACTTGTGGGACACTGTGTGTGTTTACATATACATACGTGTTTGTTTATTTAGGCATATTTACATATGTGCCTATCCATCTCTTTTTTGTTCAGTCAAGTTCAACTCTTCATGACCCCATGTGGGGTTTTCTTGGCAAAGATATCGGATTCATCATTTCCTTCGCCAACTCATCGTATATATGAAGAAACTGAGGCAAACAGGGCTAAGTAACTTGCCCAGGGTCACACGGCTATAAAGTATCTAAGGCTAGGTTTGAACTCAGGTCTTCCTGACTCCAGGCCTAGTGCTCTATCCACTGTGTTACCCACCTGCCCCGGATAGGGCCTAGTGAGGTTTTGTTTTTATTTGTTTGTTTTTGGTTTGTTTTTTTTTTACTCAAGTATGTGTCTAGGTAGCAGGGAAGGAACCAGTAAAAAGGGAGAGAGTGAATATTTGGGAGGCAAGAGGATTAAGAAGACAATGTGCTAGGGGAAAAAAAGAAAAAAAAGATGTATAAAAAATTTGAAACACACAGTGGCTATATTTTTAATGGAGAAAAACTGAGACAGCCCTTATGCTCAATGATTCAGGAATACCTGAATTGGGTTCTTCTCAGTGAAGAGGACCAGAATAAAATAACAAACTGGGAAAAAAGGGAAAGAAAGAATGGAAATACCTACTGACTGTAAGTATGTAAAAAACAGTAGCACTGGCAGAAAAGCAACTAGGAGAGGACATAGCAAATACCAAGTTATTGTTATTATCACAGTTTAGAAGCTGACCTTCATCTAGCACTTTGAGATTTGTAAAATGACATATATGTGCATGTGTGTGTATCATTTGATTGTCTCTAGCCTGTGAGGTAGGTGCTATATTATCCTCATTTACAGATGGGGAAACTGAGGCTTAGAAAGGTGAATGATGTGCCCAGCTGGTGTCAATGGCTTTGATTTCAGGACTGGTGAGTTCAAATCCATAGGATTCAAGCTGAGAGCTTCCTAACTCCATATCCATCACTCAAACCCTAGGCAACCTAGCTGTCTCAGAGTGCTCCACCAAGCCATAAGTCAAGGACTATATCTTTCTAACCTTGATGTATAACATCATCTTATGCATGGAGATGCTTAATTCACATTAGCCAAGCTCCCAGCACAAGACCTGGCACATGGCATCTGGTTGTGATTATGGTTCCTATGGACTATTTGTGCTCTCCCCATGGCAGAGCCTTCTGAGTTCATATTGTTCTGATCAGCCACAGTCAGACAGATACACTGTACCTTGACCCCAACATAGTGCTGTCATTTTGGTCCTCTTCAAGAACAAAGGACAACAACCAAACATTTGGGGATAATGGTGACATCCACACCATAGACATAGACCTGTGAGATTTCACTAAGACAGCATGGACAATTTCTACCAGTGGCTTTGTGGAATCAGTTTCATCAGGACCACGGCCACCCTTTGCCTTCTTCTATACTCTCCTAGACTCTGAGTTCCCTGGCCAGGAGCACATAGCTGAGAGCTGCCTTGGGGAGGAAGAGGTAACAGAAAGCACCTCCCAAACCCTGTCATGGCACCCCGGTGGCACAGTAGATAGAGTGCCTGGTCTGGAATCAGGAAGTTGTCATTGTTCAGTCATTTCACTCCTGTGACTCTTCATCAACCCTTTGTAGGGTTTAATTGGCAAAGATACTGGACTGATTTGCCAATTCCTTTTCCAGTTCATTTTACAAATGAGGAAACTGAGGCAAATAGAGTTAAGTGACTTGCCCAGGGTCACACAGCTATTAAGTGTCTGAGGCCAGATTTGAACTCAGAAAGATGTCTTCCTGATTCCAAGCCCAGTGGTCTATCCACTATGCCACGTAGCTGCCTAGAATCAGGAAGACCTCTTCAAATCTGGCCTCAGACACTCACTAGCTGTGTGACCCTGGACAAGCCACTTAACTTCTATTTGCCTCAGTTTCCTCATCTGTAAAATGTAGATAATAATAGCACCTACCACCCAAGGTTGTGGTAAGGATCAGTTGAGATCATTGTAAAGAGCTTAGCATAATGCCTGGCATGTAGTTAAGTGCCGTGTAAATGTTTATTAGTATTATTATTATTAGTCAGACTAGGGCCCTCCTGGGAAGAAAGGGAAGCTTTGCACTAGCCCCAGAGGACAGACACAGCTAAAGGTGAAGAAGATTCCAGTGCTTAACAGATGATGAGGAGCCGGGAGCAGATGGTCTGAGCTCACCTACTCAGAAGAGTGGTTGCCTCAGCCTGGGGTCAGAGCAACCCCTACACATACCCATACCCAGAGGGAGAGAGGGTGGGAAGCCTACCCCCTGACCAGCAAGGGGCCAGGAAGAATTCATTCCATTATCTCCAGCCAAGCTGGGATGGGCCAAAGCCAGAGTACCAGACACGGGAGGTTCAGGCCGACTCAGGGAAGCTAGGGGAGAGGATGTGGTCGAGAGAATCAATGTAACCATGGTGCCCAATCCACTCCTTCCTCTCCCTAGCCCAGAGTCCAGCTGCTCCATCAACTGAGCTGGTGGAAGGAGGAGGAGGTGTTTCCTGTCCTTGGGGCACGAAGTAGAAGCCCCTAACCTCTCCCCTTGCCCCCCGACCCCAGCCCAGCTGCAAACCACTCCCCCTCCCCCCCAATCCCCACCAGAAGGAGCTGTTCTGACCAGGGTCTGCGCCTGGACTCAGAGACACCAATCCATATCCCTTGAGGGATGTCTGTGCCGCTCACAAGCTGCTTGTCAGAAACTGCCCAGTCACTCATTAATCAGCCCTCACATTTTTCTTGTGCTTTCATGCAGATATGTTTCTGCCTTATTTGATCAAGAGTTCCACAATGGTCTTATTCCTTCTCTATATCCCCTGTCCCACCTAACCCCTCCAGCACATAGATGGAGCACTGGGCTTTTAGTCAGTAAGACCCAAGTTCAAATCTGGCCTCAGACACTTCCTAGCTGTGTGACCCTGGGCAAATCATTTAACCTCTGCCTCAATTTCCTTATCTGTAAAGTAGGGATAATAATGTCTACCTCCCAAAGTTATTGTGAGGATAAAATGAGATATTTTGCAAATCTTAAAGTGCTATTTAAATGTTAGTTATCGTTGTTGTTATTATTATCATTACTAGGTGCTGAGTAAAAGTTTTTTGAATGAATGGATGGATTCTGCTTGGCAGAAAAATCAGCCTCATGCCCCACGACTATAGAATGTTAGTACTAGAAAGGACCTCAGAAATCTAGTCTAATCCTTTCATTTTACAGATAAGGAAACTAAGGTCAGAGAAGTTAAGTTACTTCCTCAAAGTCAAATAAAGGTACCCAGCTGGTGACAGAGGGTCCTCGACCGCCCATCTCCCATTCCACCTGCCACGGCTTACCCCTATGGAGCCAAGCACCAAACCCCATAGTCTAGTAAAAGGGAGGTGCCTCCTATCCACTCGACCCCAATCAAAAGAGTCCCTGGTCCCCTCTGTCCCCTGCCAAACCTCTTCTTTTCTCTTTCCTTTCCTCCTGTGTGGTGAGGAAAGCTGGGCAGCCCAGGTCCCTGCTCCCCTCTCCAAGCTCCATCTCTCATTATTAATTCATCGGAAGGAATCAGTGTCCGACTGACCACACTTAGTGCTTCATTATCCCCTCCCTGACTGCTATAGGGATCCCCTCCCCCACCCCCTCATCTCAGACGACCTCCCTCCCCCACACCCTGTCAGGCATCAGCACCAAACTTTGGAGGCCTGGATCCTGGGCTCCTGGCTTGTCAGAAGCTACTGCAAGCCTTCCCTATTCAGATCACCACCCCAAAGCATTGTGATCATCTCAAAGGGAAGAGGGAGGGAGCGGGAGGAAGGGGGAGGGAAAGAGAGGGAGGAGGAGGGAGAAGCAGCTGGCCAACCAGGGATGGAGAGAAGGAACAGGAGGAAGTGTACCCTGGATGAGAGTGTTCTGTTCTCTGGTCCCTTGGGAGACTCAGGGCTTGGCAGACCTAACTGTAAGGGGGCTGAATCCCTGAACTGGGATAGCAGCTGGGAGGAACCATTCCAGCCGAGGCTGCAGACTTGAGATTCCCCACCTCAGGCCAATCTAGACACCATCCAGTGACCTGCAGAGGAATAGATACAGCCTATCTCTGGGAGCCCCTTACTCGGAGGCCTCAGGACAGGTCCTGGGGTCAGAAAGGGAGTACTGTTTCTGAAACCATGGAGCCTACGCAATGTCAGAGCTAGGAGGAAACTTGGAGATCACCTAGTTCAATGCCATTTGACAGATGAGGAAACTGAGGCACAGAGAGGTGAAACTATTTGCTCAAGGTCATATACTCACTTGGTGGAGACAGGACTAACGATAACTCGAACTCCTATGTTATGAATATAAAGAATTGTTCTGATTGGAGGACAGAACAATGAGCTCCATTCAAGGCGGCACCCGGGCCAGCCATCGCTATATTTCCCACCTGGCTTCATTCCTTTGAACTTCTCCATCATGCCCCAGGTACCTTCTTCTCCTTTCTCCCCCACCTCCACACCCCACTGCTTCTTAGGTTCTTGGTGTGTATCGTCTTCACCAACAACACACTCTTGGAGAACAGAGATCATCTTTCTTTTTCATACTTATCTCCCAGTGTTTAGTGTATTGCCTGGAACATAGGAGGCACCTAAATATGTTTATTAATTATTGAATATTGTCACCATTTTATAGAGGAAAAAAACTGAAGCTTTGAGAGGTTCGGTGATTTACTCAAAATCATACCCTTGAGGGGTATCCAAGCCAGGATTTGAACCCAAGGTCTCCTGACTCAAAGTCAAATGTCCTTACCACTACACTAGTATCTCTCAAAGCTAGAGCTTCTCCAAAAATTTAACAAGTAACTAACTAGTCTGGAGGCAGCTAGGTGATGCAGTAGATAGGGCGCTGGGCCTGGGGCCAGCAGGATCTGAGTCCAAATCTGTCCTCAGACACTTAATAGCTGTGTGACCCTGGGCAAGTCATTTAACCCTATTTGCCTTAGTTTCCTCATCTGGAAAATGAACTGGAAAAAGAAATGGCAAACCACTCTAGGATCTTTGCCAAGAAAATCCCAAATGAGGTCTGATGAGTTGGATATGACTGAACAGTGAAATAACAAGTCTGATTCCCCACCAGGGCAGCTGCAAAGGTATACTTGGTCGGGATTGGCTATACCTAAAAGTTACTCTCAAGTGGCTGCTACTTGTGCAAGTCAGTCAGCTACACTAAGAACAAGGTGCCAGGGTGTCCCCTTTGGTAACACTTGCCCCTTTTCTTCCTGAAACAAGAAGTGGGTTCCTGCATTCAGCAGTGCCTGAGGGATCGTCTTCACTCAGCCCGTTGGGAGGACCGCACAGGAAGCTTAGGCTGTCCAGGAGGCTCTCTAGCAGGCCAGAGTCTGTGCCCAGCTGCAGTCCACAAAGCCCCCAGGAAAATGGTGCAAGGAAAAAGAGAAAATGCCGAGGGGAACGGAATCAGCCCATGGCAAGGTTCTCAGAATACAGATCTTCCAACTACTCATAGCCCTTTTCAAATAAGTGACAAAGGAAGGGCCCTGCCTCCACACCAGGAGCCAGATTTGAGCCGAGCTCTGCCGCTCACTAGCCTAACACTCAGCTTTTTTGGGCTTCAGTTTCCTCATCTGTAAAATAAAGAGTTTGGACTCCTCCAAGGTCCCTTCCAGCTCCAAGTCCATGATCCTGGGTTCTTAGTATTCTGTGTCCTCCTTCAGTGGCAAGATGGGAGCCTGAAGGTTCATCCCTTCCCAGCCACCATAGCTGGCATCCTCCTGCATCTCTCCAGGCCCCCAGGCCCTACCTGGATACTGCAGCGGGATATCGATCTTGGGCCCGATGACATAGTGCCCTTCCTCCAGGCTGTGGGCTGTCACCGTCGTCCACTGGCGGCAGGAGTGGATGAGCAGGACATCCTGTTGGCTCACCCCCTCCACATACTCCCCTGGGCCAGGAAGGAGAGAGAGAAGGAACAGACACAGCAAACAGGGATATTAACTCCCACCCTCTCCTAGGAGGGTCTCAGATTGAGCCTCCCCAGGGACAGAACACTCAAAGACCCCGCTCTCAGACAAGGGTATGGCTCCCCACCCCACACACCCACCACCATTCACTGTCCAGTCAGTCACGTTCTGAAGTGCACAGAGAACAGAAAGGCCGCCAACAGAAACAAGCTGGATTCATGCTGCAACTCAGGGCCATCATCGCAGTGGCTTTCTGCATTTCAGAAGGGGCCCTTCCCAGTAAGGGAGCTGTCCCTCCCTTCCTCTGGGCTCATCTAGTAAACAGCATCCTCAGCCACTCACCAGACTGAGATCTCTGGGAAGTGTTGAGTGACATCCCCTCTCATCCCCTTTATATTAACCTGCCCTGTGATTTCATCAGTATTTCATCAAGGAGGAGCTTCTTCTATAGCTACCCCTTTCTTGGCAACAGGATCTTAGGAAGTTGCCTGGGGCACTTTGGAGGTTGTGACTTGCCCAGGGTCACATGGCTTTTATGTAAGAAGAGGCAAGACTTGAATCCAGGCCTTCCTGGTTCCAATGCCAGCTCTATCTACGATGCCATGCTGCCTCAGAGGATATCAGCCTCAAATTGTATCCTATAGTTAGTGACAGGTGCTTTGAATTCCCATTCAATGCGTGCATTCATTGAACCGCTCATGGCGGATTCACCCCCGAATTCTAAGAGAGGACGCTCCTCAACTTCATTAGGAGCATAAGATTTAGACTTGCAAGGAACCTTCAAGATCACCTAATCCAACTCATTTATTTTACAGATGAGGAAGGCAAGTCCTTAATCCCAGGAAAGGAAATGAACTGGCTTCCTTACAGGCAGTAAATAGCATTCGGTATTTCAACTCTGGTATTGGACTTGAAATCAAGAGCCCAGCAACCCCTTGAGGAAGAAATTCCTTCTCCCAAGACCCCTGGCTCCACACCTCTCCCATTTTTCCTGGCCAGGAAGACACCAGTAATGAGGAAGGGGAGGAGGGAACAGAATGAGAGGAAAAGAGGGAGGGAGGAAAGGAGGAAAGGAGACATTGGCCAAAGGTTGTTAAGAAAAGAGGGGTATAGGGAGGGGTTTGGACTGGATGGGTTCTCTAACCCCAGCAACTGTTACCAAGGCAGCAGGAGGGGCCTAGAATTTTCAATCTGAAGGGCTTCTCCTGGCAGCTATGGGCATGGTGGGGGTGGGGAGGAGAAGGGGACACCCTCTTGATTGCTTCCTTGCCAGAAACCAAAAGGGTCTGTCTGCTCCCCTTTTACACCCTCCCCAAAAGGATAACTACTACCCAGCTAAATCCTGCATCATTTGGGACTTAAGAAGCGTGGAAGCACCACCCTAAACGGTGAGAGCTTGCCTGGGGTGGGACGACCTTAAAGGAATGGTCCAAGAATTTAATCATAGTCCCCTGCCCCCCATCCAAATGCACAGCCAGGCAGGGTTCCATGGAAAAAACCCTGGATTGGCAGTCAGAAGTCCTGGGTTCGAATCCCATTTCTGTTGCCTCTCATCTGTGTGACCTTGCTCAAATCAACTTCCTCATCATCTATGAAACAAACAGGTGGGACTCTTCCTAGCTCTGAGGCTCCATCTAGCTCTTCATTCCATGATTCTAGTCCTCCCAGGAGGTTGCAGCCTCGTCATCTGCCTGGGGCAGAGCATCTTTCCCCAGAGCCACGTGCAGTCGTCTCATCTGCTCACTCTGACCCGCAGGCCCACTGGTCCTATAACACTGTTACCCACACCTGACCTGCTGATGTGTGCTGCTGTGGACATACACAGAGGTCAAGAGGGTCACAGAGCTGGTCATTTAGTCTAACCTTTTCATTTTTATAGATAAGGAAAATAAAGCCCAAATGATTTGCCCAAGGCCACACAGGAAGTAAGCTTCAGAAGTAGGATTTGAACCCAGGACCTCTGACTCTGTAGCCAGTGTTCTTTCCACTGTACCAACTGCCTTGTACCCGAAACTCCACTTCCCACCTACCGACCCCCTCCTGGGACACACATGGCACACACAACTTCCCATTCCCTCCCTCTTTCCCACCTTTCTCAGCCTCATCTCCAAGTCCTTGGGTAGGGCCATCATCGGCACTGAGCAGTGTGGGTTGGGGGGAGGGGCTGGTGGGCCTCTCTGCCCCATTAGCATTCCGGGAAGCGAGTGTGCCAAGGCTGGCCAAACCCCTATTCTTCTCTGATACAAAACCCCCAGCCAGGCAGCCAGGCCCCATCTCCACTTCCCCTCCCCCTCCTCACCCCAGCCAGGCAGCCGGAACTCCCCTCTCAAGCAGGCATCCATCCCCTCCTATTCCTCCTTCTACAAAGTAGTCCCCCCCCACCTCCCCAGGTTGGACTGGGGTGTGTTGGGCCACCAGGAGAAGGAAGCCCAGAGGGGAAGGGGGGGAGGGAAGGGCATGGGAGACATGAGAAGGGGGAGGGAGCGCTGGAGTAACATAGGACGAGGGAGGCACAGGTGGCTTCAAATTGATTGTTGGGAGAAGAGGGTCAGGAATGGATCCAGCAAAGAAAGGGGTGGGACTGGGAAAGTGAGAAGGGTCAGAGGAACAGGGATAGAGAGGAGAGAGGGCAGGCAGAGACAGGTGACAGGACAGAGACAAAGGGACAAAAGGAGGCTGCGGGGGGGACAGGAGGGATCAGAGGAAGGATGAAGAGAAGAAGAGAGGGGGCCCTGCTGGAAGCAGGGACACAGAGCTCAGGACTGTGCTCAGAAAGAGCTCAAAACTTTCTCAGGACCCTACAAAGCCTAGCAGAACAGTGCAGCCCACCGCCCTTCTCCCCAGACTCCACCTGCTACAGGTCACCCTCAGGCTCCTCTTCCTGCCTCCCTCCCTTTCATCTCTCTCTCCCTCTCCCTACTCTTTCCCATTCCTCGACTCTGGCGCCCTTCTGTCACTCCCGGATTTGCTCCTGTTCCAGCATCCTGGTCCTGGCTCACCTGGAAAGTCCCCAGGACTTCCCCCTCCCACTCTCCTCTCCTCTCCCCTACCTGGCCCCAGGCAGGCGAGAGTGGGCAGTCGACAGCGGCTGACGATGAGGTCCAGGGGGAAAGCCCCCATGCTCCAGTGGAGACCCGCTAGCCCGGCTGCCAGTTTCTCCATAGCATTGCTCCAAAGGCTCAAGTCCGGGGGAGCGAGGGAAGCGGGGACCAGCCAGAGGCTCAGATGGCACAGTCCCAGGGGCTGCCCAACGTCCTCCTCCTCACCCACGACCCCAGCTCTGGGAGGTCAGGGCCAGCCAGCAGCACCATGCTCCCCCTGCTCTCACTGCCAGCTCGGAGCCTAGCCAGCACCTCCTCTAGCCCCCTTGCTGCTCAGAAACCCCACCATCCCTTTGGGCCCCTCTCCTCCCCTCCCTTAATTACCCTCCTCCTGACCCAAGCCCCACCTCCCCTTCCCAAGGCCAGCCCTCTCCTTTACCCCACCCCCTCCTCCATCTCTCCCTCCCAGCTTCCCTTCAATATTCCCCCTTAGTTTCCTCTCTCCATCATTCCATCCCTCCATTCCCCCTCCCTCTTTCCTCACCCTTTCTCTTTAACCCTTCTCACTTCATCCTATCCCTCTGCTTCTTTCTCTCATTCTACTTCCCTTCCCTCTGCCTTCCTCCTCTAGTTCCTTTTTCTAAACCCTCCCCTACCAAGCCTGGGAATACCTCCCCAGTCTTTCTTTTTGCCCCTTTTTCCTTCCCCTTTTAGCCCCCTCCTCCCTTTCTCCTGGCATTCGGGCTTCACTCTCCAGTTTCTTCTCTCATTTCTTCTCTTTCCTTTTCTCTCTTTCTCCTCCCCCATCCACCTCTGCACTGTTGCTCAGGTGTCTCTCCTTGTCCTATTTCTCCCGCCACCCCCAATTTAGATGCAGTAGAAATCAAGCTCCAAAGACATCAGGGAGAGCCTTGAAGGTACAAAGAATAGTACCATAGGATTTAGACCTGGAAAGGACCTAACAAATCCAATTCAATTTGAGAAAATGTATTTAGTGCCTTCTCTGTTCAAGGGTCTGTTCTAGGTTCTAGGGATACAAAAAGAGATGAAAGCCTGCTTTCAACGAATTGGTGTTCTATTGGGTAACAAAATTCAACAAACAAATAGGTAAGTAAATTCAAAGACATTTTTAGTAGGGAAAGAGCATTAACAACTGGGGAGAGCTACAAAGACTTTTTGGGGGGAAAGCAGCAAGTGCATAGAGCTTGGAAAAAAGGATCAGAGATTTAGAGGGGAAGGGACCTTAGAGGATGTCTAGTCTAATTCCTTCTTTTATAGACGAAGTTGTCGTTTGTCCTTCATGCTCAAATGGGACCCTGACATCAGGGAGGGGATGCCATGACATGCAAGTGAATTGGATTTAAGTGAGGGAGGGCTGGGTCCAGTGGCAAGGTGTAGATCAAGATGACTGGAGATGAGGCTCAGAAGGTCAGAGATTACAAGGGTCACACAGCTAATGTGTCAGAGGAGAGATTTGAACCCAGGTCTATGCCTGATTTCTTCCATTGTTCTGCCTACTACACCAAGATAAGGATCTAGAACAGATGAGGCAGGGAGGGAGTTTGTTCTAGGCCTGGGGATCCAACAGCTTTAGCAAACTGAATAGACTAAATGAAGTAAATAATAATGTGGAGATGGGGTAGAGGAGAGGGCTGGCCTTGGAAGGGAAGGTGGGGCTTGGGTCAGGAGGAGGATAATTAAGGGAGGGGAGGAGAGGGGCCCAAAGGGATGGTGGGGTTTCTGAGCAGCAAGGGGGCTAGAGGTACCAGCTAGGCTCACAGTTGGCAGCTGAAACAAGGGTGAGCTTGGTGCTAGAAAGGTAAGTTCTGAGTAAGATTTGTGAGAGCTTTAAACACCAAGTTGAGGAGTTTTTATCCTAGAGTCAGTAGGGAGTCATTGAAGGATTTTGAGCAGGAAAGTGATATGATCAGACCAGTACTTTAAGATTACTCTGGCAACTGGGTGGAGAATTACAGAGTAGGGCAAAGGAGGGAGAGTAGCTAGGAGAAGGAGGGATAGTCAACAAGCAGGAATGTTTGGGAGCTTTCCCCCTAGCATTATAGAGCAGGGGTTCTGAACCTGGAACCGTGAACGTAAAATTTTTTTTCGATAACTATCTTTGAATATAATTGGTTTCCCCTGTGTATTTTATTTTATGCATTTAAAAACATTATTCTGAGAAGGGGGTGCTTAGGCTTGACCAGGCTGCCAAAGGGGTCCATGACACAAACAGGACCCTCATTTTAGTGGGTCTTTTTGATGAACAACTGGGTTCTCTAAAGTTAGTTGTGTGTATCATATGAAAGTGCTAAGTAAATGGCACTGTTAAGTCTTATAGAATGAGAAAGTAGGAGACATTGAGGCTACCCCAGATAAGAGTAGGAAGAAAGCCTCAGCTCGAATTGGAAACTCTGTCTTCAGAGAATTTCTGCTGTCTATTACCTGGTCTGATCAAATGAAGATGGGGTCCAGTGAGTAGAAGACTAAACTGGAAACTGGAAAACACAGGTTCTTGCCTTGACTCTTCCCTGTGTGATCATGGGTAAGTTTTAATTCATGCCTCAGTTTCCTTTTCTGTAACATTGATAAAATATTCTGACTCCTGGCAATATGGATGAAGCAACATTAATATATTCATTGAGCATATATTTTCAGATTCTAAAATGTGGAATCTGGAAGTTCAAGAGCCACCCAATAGGAATTCCAGTTCTCCAATGCCTCATCCAGGAGTGAAGACAACCCTGTGAGGCCCAAGGTCCAGCAGGCCCTAGAGAGTCTTCCAGCAAGGCCCCAGGACATATTAACCTGTCTCCTGACCAGTGCTCTTTCTACTCCTTCCTCTAGGCATGTGTCTGGTCCTCCCCAAAGACTTCTCTGAGGTTTCTCCCTTTATGGTCTTTATCATCTTCTCTCCATACCAGCACAAAGCAAGTGGCTTTTGCTGATATCTTGCCCTACTCCCCTTCCCTAATCCATTTGCCATCCTCCTCCTCTGCTCTTTCTCTATATCACTGCTTCTCAAAAACCAGCCCTCCCTTCCTTGCCTTCTGAGTTCTTAATCTACTTCTACCCCCATCCTCCTCCAAATGCAAACTTCTGCCCTCAGCTCAATGGACCCATAGGTGGAAAGAGGCTGATGAAGTAGAAAGCTGCCTCTAAGTAGTGGGAAAGCCAGGGAGCCTAGGGAAATAGGGACAAGGTCCCCAGGCTAGAGACTGAAGCAATCTCCGTAGTGTAGTAGGAGCCTAGTTATCTCTCAGTGCATCTGGAGTGCTCTCTACTGGTGCCTAAGAGGATACTATAAACAGTTAATTATGGTAGACTGAGCTAGAGTTCCAAGCACTATCAATTTATTAGTAAAGCATGAATTTACCAATAAATAGTTTCTCAGCTTCCCCAGTAAAGCCAAGACTCCAAGGTGGGGAATAGCTACCCTTTTTATAGTTTTTAGGGAAGTGCATAACAAAGAACAGGACTTGATAAATAGGGAACAAGTTATAATTGGTTAGAAATGGCTAGTAACAACCCCCTCCTTCCCTCCTGTGACTGAGAGATGTTCATTACGTGCATCCACCTGCAAGGTTAGTGGACCAGACTTCTTTGGATAACAAACCAGACATCCTTCAAGGGTAACAGATTTCTTTGACACAAGAACAAAACAGTGACTAACAAGAGAACTAGATTTCTAAACTTAACTCATTACAGGCCAGCTGAACATCTGAATTAAGTTCAGAAGCAAAGAATCATGACTTGGGCCGTTACAGGACAAAATCAATTAACTGTAAATAGGATCAACTTTTTAAAAAGGCACAGAATCAATCTAATTATTTCCACACGTAGAGTGGCCACTCAAAAATGCAGGGCAGTTTGGCCCAGGATCGGCTCACTTCCACAAAAGGGTCCTCCTTAGCTGTAGCCTTCAAGGACGTCTTGTCGCTGTCAGAGAGAAGATTCCAAAGCAGAAAACCTTAGAGGCCCAAAGCCCTGACCCAGAGAGGTCATCTGTCCAAAGTCACACAGCCAGCTAGGGGCACAAATGGGACCAGAGTCAAAGTCTGCTCATACCACCCCACCTTCTTCCTGCCCATTAACACACTTCCTCAAGCTTCTCTACATTTTCTCATGCCTTGCAGTTCCCAGAGAGAACTATGACTTACTGATTATTTAAGGACTTGCATTTATAGGGTGCTTTGCAACTCCAAAGCATTCATTCAGTCATCTTGAGATGACTATGAGATGAGCAGCACAAATATTATCATCCCCATTTCCCAGATGAGCCTCAGGAAAGTGAGGCCCAGAGTGAAGTAATCTATAGGAGCTAAAGGGATGCTGAAAGAGACTTTACAGGCTTATCTATTTCAGTTCCTTCATTTATTTGGTAGATCAAAAAGCTGAGGCTCCAATCATAATTTGTTCCCTATTTACAAAGTCCTGTTCTTTGTCACGCACTTCCCTAAAAACTATAAAAAGGGTAGCTATTCCCCACCTCGGAGTCTTGGCTTTACTGGGGAAGCTGAGATCCTATTTATTGGTAAATTCATGCTTTACTAATAAATTGATAGTGCTTGGAACTCTGGCTCAGTCTACCATAATTAACTGTTTATAGTATCCTCTTAGGCACCAGAAGAGAGCACCCCAGATGCACTGGTTCTTTTGACTTTATATCCAGCACGTTTCCCTCTGTACCATACCTGTCTACCAGATCTCAATTGCTGTTCCCAAACCAAAGTCTCTTCTATGTTTCTGCCACAAAGAAACCTCCATTTTGCCAAATCTGTTGCCAGTCTTATCTTAGATGATCAGGCCCAGAAAACTGAAATTTCTTTTCAGCTATGTCTAGAAGAACCATGTGAAGGGCCAGGAATGCTTGAGAAGCCAGAAGCTAGGAGGCAGAGGGAGAGAGAATAGGTAAATTGAACCAAAGGAAGAAAAGGGGCAAAGAGGCCATATTTCCCATAGGCTCTCATTCATTTTCTTGGGGTTCAGCTATGACTGCAGGGGATGCCTGAGGGTTAAAGTAGCACTATTTTCCTTTTCTATTTCTATTTTATTTTTTCTCAATTACATGTAAACAAAAATGTTTAAATTCACTTTTTAAAATTCTGAGTTACAAATTCTCTC